TTTCATGATGAGAGATCCTAGATGTCTTGTTGTTTTGTACTGTTTTGTTTTGTTTTGTACTGTTGAGCCAGGTCTTTTCACAGTGACCGCAGGCCCAACAGAACTAAAAGATGCCCAGTCCCTGCATTCCTCAACCAAACACTGTGCTTGGCACCATGGACGCAGCCACTCTGTCAATCCGTCTCATCAAGGGTCTTCTCTTTTCTCCTCATCCTCTTCTTTACCAGACATAATATCCTTCTCCGTGAACTGATTCTCTCCTAAAAATATGCACAAAGTATGTGAGACAGTCTCTCCCTCCTTGCTTCTAAGGAGCGCAACGGCAGTTACTCCAAACCAGATCTGGTTTTTTTTTTTTGGCTGTCTCTGGAACATTCCGGATTCTTTACCAACACAACTATTGCAAAACATCAATAATTCTTCAGTCTTCCTTATTCACTGGCCAATTTTCACATGCAGATGAAGCACTTTCCAGCACCGTGGCTTAGGTCGGAAGGTCTTCAAAGTGGCGTCTTTGCTTTGTGATATTTTAAAGAGGTCCTAGGCAGTTGATTTGCCTGGGGCAACATTGCCTGATTTCTTGACTGCTTCTTTCACAGACCCTGATTGTGGATCTGCGTAAAAGAAAATCCTTGACAACTTTGATGATTTTTCCATGTATCATTATGATGTCTACTGGTTAAGCAGTTAGAATTTTGGTCTTATTTATGTGATGTGTGACCCTTACTCAAGGTTGTGGGCATTGATATTCATCAGTAAGTACTTCAAAAGCCATCTTCATTTTCTTCAAGCAAGAGTGTGTTGTCTGCATGTCATACATTCATTGCTAGTGAATCTTCTTCCAATCCGGATGCCATGCTCTCTTCTTCATATAGTATAGCTTCTCGGATTATTTCTCTACATACAAAGGATGGGACTCTAACACACACCTTCTCTGAGTTTGGACCATGCAGTAGCATCCCCTTATCCATTCTTAACAGCAGTCTTTTGATGTATACACAAGCTCAGCACGAGGACTATAAAGTGCTCTGGAATCCCTCTTCTTTGGAATGTTAACTGTACTTATTCAGTCTGAAGCTGCATACCCAAGTATGTAGTGTGAAGTGTATAGATGTCCATAAGTTACTCTTAAATGGTTCAGCCAAATGTTTATATGTATATAGAAACTTTCTTGTGTGTGATGATATTGTGATCATGCAGCCCACAGGTGGCAGTGCTGTAAACAAATCCCTTGTCTGCTGGTGACTGGAATGAGAGAGATCAGTGAAGTTCCAACTGCTGGCTTCAAAGCAG